AAGTGCTGTCTCGGCTTCATTGAGAAGACCCATCTGAAAGCATGATAGTGCAAACAAGTAGCGAGATTGAGCCATACCTGTCCCTTAATATCATAATGATGATTATGAGCATAATCTCAAGGACAAAGGATATCAGACATCCAAAGATAATACTCAACTAACAAGTAACACAGAGGCATATTCATTGAATTATGTAAAAATAAATACCTTTTAAAACATGGTATGCAGCATAAGCCTGTTGGTTCTGCAGGTAGCAGCCAGCTAAAAGCTGCATATTTGTCTGCACTCGACATAGAATATTATAGTAAACAAGCGAAGTATTATGAACAGCTTTCATAGACAATATTAAGAGATTTCAACAGAAGGACATCCCAAATGTCAATAATGTGTCTAGTTAGGGACCAGTAGTAATTAAAATCATCAGTGCGGAGAAGATTGAAAAGGCTTGGAACTGGGATAATACTAGTCTAGTTCCAAACCAGTAAACTATTAGAGAAGCTTACCACTCCATGTTATTTCACAAAACAAGACATTGATGAACCTCTAAAATGAGAAGAGAATTTTTTCATTTTGATTGAGACTCCAAAAACCGTAAGTTTCTTTGCTATATACAAAGAGTGGTAATCATAGTGCCTGTAGCTTTTCAGTAATTTTAAGCACAATATTCTCACCCCTGCTTAAATATTCAAGAAGCTAATTGTTTGATATCAATCGGTTAAAAAAAAAAGTTTGGATATTGTGTCATCCATATGCAATTACTCTACTACGTTACTAAACCCTTTTCCCCAAACACTTCAAATAGAACCCAAATAAATTTAAGGAAAGAAAAAAGAGAAACACGCGCTAATTACAGTAGAGCAACAAGGAAATAAGGGGGAAAACCCCAAAACCTAATCACGGCATTTCTAGAAACCAATCTAAACTCATTCAAAACCTCAAAATAGTGGAGTAAGAGTTTTCTCCGACCCGATGAACTGAAGAGAAAAGAGAGCGGGTGGGTGAAAAAGAGTGGAGATACCTACCTCAGAGGGGAACTCGGCACAGAGGCGTTCGCACATGAAAATGGCGTTGCGGTGCATAAAATGCCGCAGGCTGTTCTGCACACACTCTATTAGTATGCTTTCCATTGATAATTTTGGGTTCCAATTCAGAGAGAGACAGCGATTCCTAAAGCTGAGGTTTTTGTATACATTTATTTAGAGAGAGAGAGTATGTGTTGCTACACTCTAGTGTGTGTTTGTGTGTGAGGTTCAATTTTTCAAACGGGGGAGTCACAAATGTTGCATACGAGCGATCCAAAACTCGAGCACCTTTTGTTCGTCCATCAATTCCCAAAAATCTAATATGTATTTTGGTTTGAGGATGAAAATAAGAGAGAAATTCAAAAATAATCAGATTTATAATTGATCATTCAAAAATAGCTCAGTTTTAAAAGTAATTGAAATTTAGCCACTTTTTATGTAAAGATAAATTTGAGCAAAAACACTGTTCAAAACCCGAAAAATACGCATTCCAGCATAAGTACACTATAACTCCAGCATAATATACTAGAGTTCCAGCAAGTATACCGGTCCAGCATAATATATTGGAGTTCATACACAGGGGCACCGAACTCCAGTATATTATACTGGACCAGTCTCTGTTGCAGCAAAATAGTGGCTATTTTTCATTGACTTGGTAAACGCTAACTATTTTTGAAAGATCAGTCCGAAAACTAGCTATACCGTGTTATTTTTACTGAAAATATGTTTGGACATCAGTTTTCAAAACATATATTTCGAATTTATTTTGAAGAAACATGAAGTATAATTTATACCCACAAGTTCTAAAAACTATCACAAATACCCAACAGTACCATTATCAATAACATTCATTATATTATCGCAAATCATAGTCTGAACATAGATAAATTTGGTATAAAATTATCATTTTTATAATGAACTACATGATACACTATCAGATGGCCGAGAAGACGAAACAACATTGTTACAAAATAATAAATGGTAGGCTCTTTTATAAAATACAAAAGTTTGGGCAATTTTAAAAAAATATAATAGTGATATTTTGGCCCAAATGAGTTGGTTTTGGGATTTGAAATTTTGTCAAACTGTAGGCAAAATCTATGGCCAAGCATGTGTTTGCCAAATAGAACCCAAATTTATTTTGGCAAAATCTATGGTCAAATGGGTCATTCGTTTGATTGCAAGTAAACTAGGGAGTTCTCTAGAGTTGTGTTTGGATATGAATACAATTTAGGTTATTTTTGGAGTTTTGTGTATGATTTGAGTGAAAATTTTGAAAAATAACTTTTTGGAGTTTTTCAAATTTACGAAAATTTTCAAAATGCATCTTCGAGTGAAAATTGAAAATTTTATGAACAACGCTAATTTCGGAAAAAAGTGAAAAAAAATTGGAAAAAAAGGGAAAATTTTCTTATGTCCAAACGTGCTCTAATTATAACGAACAAACTACTAGTTATACCTGCGCGATTCGCGATCAATATTAAAAATATTAATTAAATTAAATTTTGATCAAACTTGTTTAAACATATTAGATCGTATTGCTTTAATAAATTTCAACTATCATCTTATTTGTCAATACGATATACTCAATAATAAAATTTCTATTAAATTAAAGGGACTTATATAGTCATTGAATAATTTTTTGTTCTATTAAATTAAAGGGACTTATATAGTCATTGAATAACTTTTTGTTCTATATTTTTTTAATTATATTATTCAATGTTTAGTATTATTACATTATTAAATTTGATACTTGTTAATTTTTGTTGCTACACTTGGCATCATCACATTAATTTGCTTCTCCTATTCTATATAGATATAGATAGATATTGTCTGAATTTTAATGAATAAAATCTCTATTAAATTAAAGGGATTTATGTAGTCATTGAATAACTTTTTTATGTATTTTTTTTATAAGTATATTAATTTGAACCAATCTCTTGTAAGGATAGAATAGTCTTTACATACTAATGTATAATCTATATATATCTCATATAAATTTTTATATGATTAATGAGAATCCCGGTTTGTTACATGGTATCAGATTGCTTAAGTTCCTTTTGTACGTTTTTCTCTTTTCCGGCTTCATGTCATCATCTTCATCTCAATCCAGTTCTTCAACCTTAGTGTTATGGGCCTTATGGCTGCCTCTTCCTTCTTCCAGTTTCATCTCAATCTGCAATATCTCTCTCTAACATCAAAAATCGTGTTCCCGCTGTTCTTGATTGCACCAACTACATATTATGGAGAGAACTCTTTTTACCCGTATTCAAATGCCATGGAGTTTACAGTTTTATCGATGGGAGTTATCCTTGTCCTTCACCCATTATTCTTAATGATATTTGGACTTTTCATATCCCTCGTTTATTGGTTTTCGCTATTACATATTCTTTCATGATGATTTCACAAAGTTCTCTTGGGATTTTCCTATTAAACGCAAAAGTGGAGCTTTCACAATGTTCAAGAAATTTTATGCCTATGTTCTAACTCAATTATCTTCTAAGATTAAAATACTACAATGTGATGGTGCTGCAGAATATGTTAAACTTGGTGATTTTCGTTCTTTTCTTAATAACAATGGTATTTCTCTCCGAATTTCTTGCCCACATACGCACCAACAAAGTGGAAAGGCTAAGCGTATGCATCGCACTATTCTTAATATTATATGCTCTCTTCTTTTCCAAGCATCCCTTCCCTCTCAAATTTGGGTACTCCACACTACTGTTCATTTCCTCAATATTCTACATTCTTCTGTAATTGATTATAAAACTCCGTTTGAACTTCTATTTGGTAAGTCACCTTATCCATCCTCATCCTAGGGATGCGACGGGCAACTGGCTCTAACCACCGGTTACCGCTAACCTGCTATCTCATACTCATACATAAACTACTAAAATCATAAATAAAGCTTTAAAGGGGAAACATACTATACACAGGGATTTCATACAACTGGATGGCCGATAAGACCTAACGTGACTGTTATACAAACTATATCTAAACCACATGATTCATGTCTACAAGCCTTCTAAGAATAACTGCTTAACTGAACATAAGAAAGGGACAAGGCCCTGCCATACCCATATATAAAACTAAACATACCCCTGTACTCGCAACCCCGGAACATAGGAGTGCCTTCAAATTTGCTACATGTTGTCCTACTGATGTTTGTCTTTTCTCAAATAACCAATACCTGCGGGCATGAAAACGCAGCGTCCCCCAAGAGAAAGGGACGTCAGTACGACTGATGTACTGAGTATGTAAGGTAAAAATACAATCATAAGGAAACTAAGTAATATCATGAACAGTAATAATGTAACTCAAATACAAGCACTTATCTAATTTTTTTATATATTAGTTTAGAAAGGCAGTACAAGAAACAAGAAGGTAACCGAAGTATATCAGAAGGGCTGAGAATGCATATGAAACATATGGCATACTCTGGAACTGCCATCCTTACTGAAATGAAGAGTAACATAAAGAAACTCGAAATATAACTGATGTGCATTGCTTACTTTTGAATCTGTAATCTTACTAGTAATACCAGATCTATTTATGTGTTGTATCTCATATCTATATACATACTATCATAATCTATATAACTGTCTGAACGCTATCTCACTTAATGGCTTATGCACACCCAAACATGTATGTCCATTTGAACGGTCTTAATGCGTCTGAACGCTATGTGTCTGAACATTCATGCGCCTGAACGCTATGTATCTGAATGCTATGCGTCTGAACATTACCGTCTGAACGGTTACCATCTATATTTATATGCATCTAAAAGTTTAAATATCTATCTCATGTATAACCATAGAGTGGTAAACCAATATACGGAACATGCTACATTCACCATCTACATATGTCTAAACACTTACACATCCATATTATCCATGCACACATATATACATAATTGTCGCTTAACGAAACCATCGTAGACTTGCGGGTTGATCATGGTACATAAACAGACCTTTTCGAATCTCAAATTCACTCCTGGACAGAGAAAATTGCCGACCTCAAAGGCTCCATTACACTCCACAATGGGTTGCACACCTCAAGCAATGGCCAACACTCACTCAATTGCGAACCTCAGAGCTCAAGTACGTGGAATTTCCAGTGAACTGGGTATTGAAACTTACAACAAAGCACAGTCTATTCAAACACAATCAAGACATAAAATTGAGCTTCTAAAATAGATTATAAATGAGTTTGAAAGCTCACAACTCAGCCAGAAACAAGGAAAAACTCGCAATCAGATTCATATGGATCAATTTTACCGTATTTGGCAAGTACATGTCTCCAAAGATGAAAGGTGAACCTTACATACAACAAAGTCTTGAAATTGAGATTTATAAATGGATTATGGCTGAATTTCAAGGCTCATATCTTAAGAAAGAGAAGGAAGGATTCATACTTGAATAATATTTTCTCAAGAATCATATGAAGCAAATGAATTGTAACTTGACAAAACTCATGCCTATAAAGAAAGAAGTTAAACCTCACAGACCTTAGCCTTTCCTCGCTTCAAATCCTCATCAAAAGTAATGCTTGAAATCGTACAGCAAGATTTCCTTCAAATTAAGGTTGACTTCAACAAGAAAAGCTTCTTAAAGTAGGAGATACAACATGAACACCTCCACACCTCTCAAGTCTTGCGTGAATTATTCTACCCAAAGTTATTGAATTGTTTGGATAATTTACAAGAAAAACATGAGAAAATATTTGGGGACTTATTTGTCTCAAGAGGTGATAGATATGTTCTGCAAAACTTGAGAACAAACTCATATAAAAAGCCACCGCCTCACTAAACTAGTAGGTGACAAAGCTGCTTTTTGGCAGCTTGAGTGACCCTGCTTTGAACTTTCGTTTATCTCTACTCCGACGTCATATCAACAAACGGTTTAATATTTCTGAAACTAGGTTCAACAACCTCCAACTTTCATGTTTGAATTTTCTTCAAATTCCTTATGGATTGGGAGAAAACTGGCCCCCAAGTTGGCCTAGTAACCTGCCTGCTTTTGCCGTAATACTCCAGTGACGTTGTGGCAGCCCTACTTTGGACGCTCATAACTTTTCACTCCGATGTCGTATTGATGTACGGTCTAAAGCAATGGAAACTAAATACATAGGCCTTAGATTTCATATATAATTTATCCCAGAAAAGCTTCATATGCTAGGAGAAAATCTAGTCACAAAGTGATCTAGTTACATGTCGTATCTTAACTGAAATTGCGGCAACTTTTCTAATACGACATGTTTGGCTTATATACATAATGTATAA